CTATTTGGCTGCACCAGTCGGCTGTAAGTCAGTAGAAAGAACACCAGCCAAATTTAACTCAAATTCGTTTCGATTCATACAGAAACTTTAGGCGTGGCCTAAATCTGGTCAGACTAGCTGTTACCGAACCGTCAGCTGAACCTGGTCGGCTGGTGTTCGGGAAAAAATCGGGGGAAGGTCGTGAGACAAGGGCTACAGGTTGCTTCGATAAACAATAGCCGACTTCGCTGCATATCAGTGCCCAGCACAGTTAACTGCAGTATGATAGGAAGACAGGAAGAACGGTTTGAAATAATCTAGTTAGGACTTAACGGTGCGTTTCCCTTCTATTCTTGTGAGATTGACAAGACGTAAAGGTGTGGCTAATCTCCCCGCTGGCGATGATATAATTACCTGGGCCGCAGCGGCCACGCCCAGTGGTGCCTGACCGAGCCCAGGGGCCACAGGAATCCTCTAATCAGCATTCCACAACTTCTGCGAAACAGGTGGCACCAAACAACTACTTCTTTTTCTGTTTGTTCTGCTTGTCAGGCCTCGAAATTAACTTAACCTTTCTTCCTATTGTCCCAGCACTGTCCCAAAAATAAATTTCAATTGTCCCGAAGTGAGGATGAACTGTCCCAACCTGTATTTGCATGGAAGTACTGTAGGACTTTAACTTGAAGTCAACTTTATTTTGCTTATGTTCACTCCCAGGCGCAGTAGACAGGAAATTCGGGGGGATCCAAAAGATCCAAAAGCCGTGACGTGTGCCTGATAAACAAAAGAAGGGCTGACATTCTGATGTTGATTATTTTTCTATTGTCCCAAAAATGTCCCAAAGTGTCTTTTTATTCGTCCCAGCCTAAATTTTAGTGGTCAGTGGCCATTGGACCACCTTTACTTTCAAGCCCTGCGTGTCATTTGCATTTCCCATGCCCTATACATCCCCAGTATCAACTTTATCGACTCTATTCAGGACTGGTTGTCCTGGACCCGTATACTTAGTAAATAAGGGTACACTTACTAAATAAGTCAAGTTTTCAAGGAGACAGTACTTACGTATTCGATGTAGTAGAAAAACATGGGCTTGGTTGGACGGCTGCGACAGAACACACACTGTTAACCCTACATGTACTAATACATGACATTGTACAATCCGATTTTTGAAGATTTGTGATAAAACAGGTGTGTCTACCGGGTTTATGTATGGACGTCTGCTGTCTGCTTGAAAAAAAATCCATGGCATTACATTATATCTGTCAAATAGTGGGGTCGAGTGTCTTACTCAGAACCAGGAGGTCGTGGGTTCGAACCCTGCCATGCCACTGATCTTGTGCCCTTGGGAAAGGCACTTTACACGACTTTCCTCACTTCACTCAGGTGGAAATGAGTACTGTATTGTCCTCTGTGTGGGTGGCGGTATAAAAGTAAGTTGAACAAAAACTTGAGTGCGCCGTCACCACGTCTTGTGACATGTTTGGGATAAATAAAAAAATATCTGTCAAATACTTTCTACAAGTTGTCATGTATGAGAACGTAGTACGATTCTGTCTCAAAACAAATATCAACGCACTTCATACTGTTCTCACTTTGAAACTACCGAAGTACAAAGGTAGAAATATTGCCCAACGACCATATGAATACACGGCGGACAAAGAGGCGAAAGCACTTGCGAACTCCTTTAGCTGTTGCTCTTTCCGTCTATTTGCCACTCGGCTACCACAAAGGTCCCGACAAAAAAATGTTGCCTTTTCTCAAAATGCTTGGACAGTTCGTTTAGACAATCGAATTTTCCTTCACTTGGAAAGGGAATAGTTTACATTTTCCCACCCTGTAATGTTTCTCAAGTGGAAGAATACTCCAAGGGGGACAACTTTCAATGGCTGGAGTAGCTTTGATCCAGGGAAAACCCGCCGCCACAAAGACTGAAGTGGGCACAAGGCGTAGTCAGCTGGAGAAAGTATTTGTGGCGCTCTCGGTTTACCGTCGGCTGAAAGAGTTCCATATCGAGTAGATGTCTGTAGTGGGAAAAAGCCACTGCTGAACGGAACGGTTGCGAACATGGCTCTCTGAGGAAAAAAACACTGACGTTGTAGACCATAGCTATAGCTTCCGTGTATTGAAAACCACAACTCTCAGGACGAGGGAGTTACTTGCCCTATACTCGGTACTGTCGGTAGACAGAACAATTTCTGCTCGGCAGAATGTCAGTCGGGATAGACGCTGGGTCTCTTGGCAAGGTGACAAAATATGCACTTTGTAGAGTCGAGGGGCAAAAAGAAGAAGCTCTTGGCAACAAAAAAACAAAACGAAAACGACAATAGTGACCGATTTGACTGGATTATAAGTCACAAACTTGACGTGATAGTTATGTTAGATCACTATTATACTGTCAGGGCGGGAGGTATTCTGAGCAATATTGTAACAAAATCCACAACATATTGACGTATTGTGTGTGTAGTATCATACTTTACACACGAAATTGTTCAAGAAGACACTCTTATTTCTTTGTACACTGCAATTTAGCTGTGTGTGTCTTGGAATTTTTTTCGAGAAGACGTAATAAGAAAGGATAAGAGGTTACACATTAAAACATGTGAACTGGATGGACCAGTGTACAGGGTAGTGTGATGTCGTATGTCATGTACGGTGATATCTGTGTGGGTAAGCGCTGAGCTCGCTACAGTTTCCGGTGTCAGGAAAGTTTGAACCTGGCTCGTCTGCCTCAATACCTCAGGCACAGGAGGCGTCAGACCGACATCTCGCCAGCCGTCCGCGGGGACACACACTTCCACCCCGAGAACGCACCAGTACTGCAAGGGTTTGTGGGAACGCTTGGAGGCAGTATTTGTGAATGGGAGATTGCGCGTTCTCTCCGGTACTCCCTGTCACAGCCAGCACCGAGACGCCGCGAGAACAGAGCAGGAATGGCCGTAGTCTGCGGCACTGCGTCTGGTTACGGCAGTCATTTGTCTCCCAAAAGACCCGGAATGATTAGCGAAATTGTAAGGGGCAGCACAGAAACTTGACCCTGAACGAAAACATGTGTTACATTGCGCCACCACGGCGACTCACATTACCCGCTAGCATTAGGCCAATTTTTCTCTGTCAAAACATCCCGACCTCGGCCTTGAAGGATGTGTGGGACGGGTGTGGGAGACGTCATCCTGAAATACGGCTGTGGTTAACACTGGTGACGATAGGACGGTGTGGACTGATAGTCGCATCCAAGTGTCTTTGACTTAATTCATCAGTAAAGTATACATGTAATTGTAAATTCAGTGCCATGAATGCATGTGTGATTTCTACCCTAATAGAAAAGCGCGTCAACTCCAATATTATGTCCATTTGTGACTCTGATACAAACTATTGCGTGTATCTGAAAGTTCAAACTTCCTTCCACAAGGTTTCTTAGTACCTACATTAAGTGTACCGAGGTTCGCAGCATATAAAACTTTTAAAATGAGAGAAAATGTTTTGTCATTCTTATTTTCCTTCCTATATGTCTTGGCAAAAAATGATTAATTGCTTAACAGAAATGTGATTGGAACAAAGTTATATATTGCATAAGATATGTTTTTCGTGTAAAGGTGGTGCACGTCTGAATTTGATTCCAACTTCACAGGTCAATAGCAAGCTTTTTCTCAACGGATAAGGCCAACGTAAACAAAAGTGAGGGTTCGATTTATTTTCTGTCATCACTAACAAGGTAAACTAAAAACGCGAAAAAATCCATTAGACTTACGGAGAGGACACGTTCATATCTATACTGTAGTCAGCCGACAATTTGTGAATTTATTTTCTCACCTCACGTTAGGGATAACTGCTTGAAAATGAGCAAGTTTGTAATGTTTGCGAGTCACCATAGTAAATGACAGGGATATATTAGTATGCAGGAGGAGTGTCATTTTGAGTCTGATCTCCTTATTGCCTTGTACCAAACTCGTGTCCATTAGTTGTTTCAGGTCAGCTCTTTCTGTATAAATTTGACTAAGTTCTGTCTGTTAGGTTTTAGTAAAAATTCTGTTTTTGCTCACTTTCGGACACTACGACAGACGTGAACTATAATTCCGCCACTTCATACCACAACATATCCAGAACACGAGATATCAAACCCGGAAGTTCCGCTGCAAACCATGACTATAACAAGCCGGTTGCAGTACGTTAACAAGCCGGTAGGGGACCAAAATATAATAATTTGTAGGTATTATCAAGAACAGTCCACATACTTAATATCATTAGGATCTATCCACGACTTCTAGGGTTACACTGTTCAGACACACAGACACACACACACACAGACACCGACTCACACACACACACGAGCGCGCACCAAAAGAAAATCCCTTTTTGGCCAAGGTAAAAATGGTTGAATCGGCGAGCCTTCTTCTCTTCAACTGCTCTTACAAGTGCCACTAGCTATGGCGCACGGTTTACTGTATGGAAGTTATATATGATGTGGTTGATTAAGCCATCCAAGAGTTGTTAATGCCTGCTATCGGCAGGCGTGGGAAGACAGACCGTAATGAACACCAGACAAGGTTCATTGTTCGTGCCTCTCAGCTAGCCTTCACAAGAGCTCTCTATGAAACTTAGTGGACAGAGCACGAAATGCTACAGGGACAATGGTGGCCTAAATCTGGCTATAGAGCCACGCCAGGGTTCCATTTAACAAAGTTGGACAGATTATAGCCCGTGGCAACCATACGTTGAGAAGGGCCCTCCAGAAAAGCCAAACTCAGCGCAAAGCCGCTTATCTTTCACGCTACACTGGCTGTTTTCATCAGCCAAGTCTGCTACTTTTGCGCTAGAATTGAAGCTAGTCCGGGGTGTTTTGTGTACAGTTGCAAAGCCAAATGAATTCTTTTGTGATAATCTATTTTTCCGTCGCCTCATTGCTATGACCAAACCGCACTTGTAAGTCAGTCCGGGTTGGGCAGATGTTCCCTGATGTCACAATGGCCGCCAGGCTTGCCTCTTCCCACCCATTCACTCCAACACGTCATGGGGAACTTACAGAGACGCTGACAGAATGTTTGCGGTAAACTTTTAAGTATGGAAACACAAGATATACATTTGGACACAATACATTAACAAAGTGCATTCTTCGCAAGAAGGACCTTTACACATGTGGGTGTGAGAGCATAGCTCGTCCGCAAATGTTTCTATACACATACAAGTCTGCCGCATGCTTCCATTCACCTGAATAGAATAGCTGAAATTGCGCCAGTTTTCAGTCCGGCAAAACTTCAGGTGGTTTACATGTTCTGTGAACGGTCTTGGTACGCCTGGTAGCAGAATACAATACCCTGGCGTGTAGGTACACTAACATTTCACAATATACGGAGATATGTTCAGCTTTCTACAACAACAATACAAGGACACCTAGAAAAACTAACTGTCGTTAAGTTACTCCGTAACCGCTGTGCCCTTTTGTACATTGCATCATTGCACATGGTTAGATATTCTGGTTAAATTCTATACTTTAAAAACGTTTGGTCCCTACATGTTTATATATCTCTCAGTGTTCCTCACTTCGATCCCTCTCTCTGTAATAGTGTATACATACAATAGAATGCTGATACAAAATATTAACAATATACATGCAGGTACAGTGTTTACAGTATGAGCTGTTCAGTGGGTTTCTATATCAGTCTGTTGTAGACTTACTTGCGCCGCTGTAGTTACACAGCGTGCAGAGTGCTGGGTCTTTGTGGGAGTGGCAGACACCCCGCATCAACCCCCCGAACGCCGGGAAGCCGAACCCCGGCAGTAGGGTGGGAGAGTAGCCGGCAAAGGTGAGGCCACGCATCGGCGGCGGGTAGGCAAACCTCACGGAGCCGAGTCCGAGCCCGACCGGGGATGTGTCCATGTGTGGGGAGGTGGGGAGGGGGGAGAACGCCGATTTGAGTCCGACATTAGAAGAAGCTGTGGTGGACGACAGGTACGGCCGGTAGCTGACCAGTGTCCGCTTGGACATGTCCGTGGTGGTCGGAGTGGTCTGGTGGTTTGCTGAGGTGTTGTTGAGTGGCTGGTTCTGTCGCGCTAACACCTGTTCTATAGCCTTAACCACGTCTCCGCCGCACCCGTTCAGAACTATCTGCAGTGTCTGTTGGCTCTGGGTGGGGAAGACTCGAGCCAGCATTTCCAGAGCGGACATTTTCACCTTTGAAGCCGCGATGCCGTTGTCGGTCCCCGGTGTGTCTGCTTTAGCCTCTGTGTCGGACGCCTCCGAGTCCTTGTGTGCTAAGCCGGGGTGGGTGTCCGGGGATGGGGAAGGCGGTTCGGACGATGTGGTGGACCGGGTCTCTGTGAGAGAGTGCTGGTCCTCCTGGACTTTTCCCGCCAGGTCGGCAGGGGACTGTGGTTCGCCGGTCTGCCCGCCGTCTGTCGCCGCCCCGCGCTCTTCATACAGCACCCGGCCCGCTGGCATCAACTCCACCTTCTGCCGCTTTTCTGTAGCAACACATGGGGAAAATCAGCTTGGTTTGGACGCAATATCAGGAATCTAAGGCTGACTTTCAAAACACGGACCATACTAAGTCATCATTGATCCCTACATAAAATCAAAGACCGCAACTGCCTTTTTTTTCTATAAAAAAATCACATCACTGAATAAAAGTTCATCAAGTTGGTAAATGAATAGATATAAACAATGTTGGTAGTGTAAAAAAAATCTATACCAAAATTACATCACTGTTTTGATGAATGAAGTTAAACGTGCATGTGCATTTATTCTATTATTCCAAAAATTATACCTGGCATCATATACAACCGCTGTGGGGTGACCGTTTCATCTCAGTCTACGTCACTTCTCACAAAATATTTTTTTAGAGGGAAAATAATTTTTCACGATATATGGACTGTTTTCCTGTATTTAGAACAGACATTTCCATGAAACCACCTTGATGTGGGCTATTGGAATGCCCGTATTGTCAATGAACACTTGCACCAACGGGTATCGGAGTTTATATTGACTTCGAAACACTGTCTAGTAGACTTCAAATTAGATTGTTCGCTGTAATACCAGAATTTGTACATAAATTGCACCAAAAATAACTGTTATTCCGAGCTTGCTGTAGATATGGTCTTGAGCACTACTTTGACGGAATAATTCCGTTGAAAAAACGGCTCTATGGAGACGTGAACACAGCGCGTGCTTTCTCAAGTTTTCCGTCCGCAGAGCTGCTACAGATGTTCCCCGTCACACTGTGCTAACGTGTTTCCCCCCAACCTTTATTACCAAAATCTTAAATAGAGTTTCAATGTCATCAAAGTCACGATCACGCAAACATTTACCCCGAACCAACAGATTGAAAGTATCGCCTGAACACGGAACAACTTGGACTGTTTGAAAACTTCAGTGTGTCTCGGGCAAAGAACAGAACATCAACCCAGCGTAGAATTGAATGTTTATTCAAAATGTCAATGACTACAAACTGAGAATTCGCTTGGGATATTTTTCTACACTTTGCACGATTTGTAACGATGTGCGAGTTTACTGCACAACTCAAGATATGTCCCCACTGGCCGCCCGTAGAGTTGAAGTGTGCACAAGTTGCGAACAGGAAATAGCTCACATAACACCTCGTCTGCGATATCAAATTCTTTCTTTGATACTACATGAAAATAAATGAAATGGTCCAATGGTATTTTTGAATTAATAAATGGCCTGTCGGGAGTGAATAGAAAAGCGGTATAACTGACATTCCTGCCTGTAGCTCTACCCTTTAGCTGAAGGGTTGAAATTGGTTAGATTTATCTTGAAATCAACAAAGCCGTGAAAGCTTTTAAACGTTTCACATATTTCCATCGGTCATTCTATTTCAACCCACGGAAAGATATGAAACTGACGCACAATTTTATAGGTCACATGGGCCCCATGCGTCAGTCTCGAATTATTTTATTGAAACATTTCATGACAAGACATGGTGACGGCAGACTCAAGTTTCTGCCGCCACCAACGCATAAGGCCAATACTCATTTTCACCTGTTTGTGGCACGGAATGGGCTTGTTAAGGGTGCCTAACAACAGTCTAGCTATAGCAAAGCTTAAAACTTTTCTTTAATCAATGCTGAAAATTATTCTATTTCAGATAAGTTACGGGACGAACAAAATGTACGCATGTTTAAATTGGATACAGTAGGCACTCAATTTGTGTGAGCTTTTCCGTACTTTCAACCAAGACCTTTCATCCAAAAACGACATCCGACACATTTTGTTGATAACTATGAATCTAATTACATTTCATATTATATCCAAAGAAACCTTTGCAAAGACGATAACTTTAAAAATAAGACCTCATAATTCTCCATTCTTTATTTGTGGGGAAGATACAACTGAACGATTTTAAAAGAAAAGCAGCGAATGTTTCAGTGGTTACACTGCCTGTAAACACTGTACATTCTAGTCTAATTTCCAGGCTCAGATCCAAGCATATCTACCCTGGAACTGTGTACTATCATTCCTTGTGGCTATCCTTGATTTTCTGCATATTATAAACCCTTTAAGGGGATCGTAAAGAAGATTAGACTGGATTATCGATTGGTGTTCAAAATTCAGTTGGATTTACTTAATATCTAGACCCCGAGTTCACAAGTGGCTACTTGCACAATTAACCGAGAAAAAGAGTTTCTTCTGATTCGATGGTTTCAACGAAGGACCCGTCTTAAAATCGATGTGAATAAAGATATCTTGTTTGTTAATTACACCACAGAACTTGCGGGCCAGTCGGTTGTTGTTTTCTAATTGCCCGTCTGGATCTAGACTTTAACTATCTATTGTCCTGCTGCTATCAACTTCATCTGACTTTACAGACGGGAGTCAAAAAGACACGTCTGAAAAAGGTTGCTACCTGAAGTAGGAGACTGTGTCTACTTCAGGTGTGTAGAACTAACAACAGAACATGGGCGGTACCAGTAATACATTATACTGCTGTCATCGTCATGTCAGAAGTAACCAGACGTCAGAGTGTTGATAAGATCGGTAACAATCCTGGGTGTCAACCCCAACCTTACAGCCTGCTAGACCGGCCCAAACAGTCACTCGGGCCCTTGGATTTAATCTCCCCCACAATGGAATATTTTTGAAGGAAGAAGTAACTATAATTGCACGAGTCTCTCTACAGAGAGGAGAGGTGCACCAAATGAGCCTGGGAATGGTCCGAATGATGAAACACCAACAATACAGCAACACAATAGGGCAGACGTGTCGTCCTTATGACATGTGTCAGTTTGGGCTTGCCTTTCTGAGGACTGTATCTGTGCAGGGTTTATAATAGATTTGTGTTTAGTAGTAGGGTTTGGGTGTAAACGACTCAAATTATAAGATAAGGCTGGCGAAAATCTACAAACATAGTTGTTGTGAAATGTTGCTTGATGACCATCTGAACCCCGTAGTTGTATTTTTGTTTGCAAATAGTTTCAAAAGTGAGAAATTTGACAATGTAGAATATGTATCTAAAGTTACCTTAGTCAGTGTGGACTGAAATGCAATTGGCAACAAAACAAACAGTTCATTTGTCAGTTGTTACAGGGTAGACTGTCTTGTCAGGTTGATGTGTCACCCTACAAAAGTACAATGTCTGAACTGACGGGTAGAAAACAGAAGTGTGAAGATTTTGGTCTCACCTGGAGGACTGCTGCGGTCGGCCAGGTCCATGGGTTTGGCTGCGGGGAAGACTCCGGGGCCGGTGCCGGGGCTGATCAGGGTCATGCCGTCCGGACTGCCGTACAGGAGCCCCAGCTCACGGGCTTCGTTCTCCTCCTGCGCCTGCTGCCGCCTCAGCGCGACCTGTGCGGCCATGACGCGCTGCCGCTCGGCGATCAGGGTGCACTTGGCGCACATACAGTCCCGCCAGCGGCAGTAGCGCTTGTGGCCCTTCAGCGCCGACACCACGCCGTGGTTCCGACACCGGGCACACTTCGGGGTCCGCGGGTACTTGTCCGACCGAAACATCAAGGTTGGAGGCAGGTGTGGGCCCGACACCGGCACGGTGTGACCCACCGAGACCGGCGGCAGACTTCCACGGGCGTCGAGCGGAGTTGGCCCGAGACTCATCCTGACGTTTCCCGACGCTCTGATAAGGGGATCAAGATGTAGAAATACGGGAATTTACAGCTATGTGAGGTCAGCTTGTGTATCTGTGACAATAGTACAGACTTCCTCCACAGATTACCTCTAACACTTGAGACAGACCGTCGTGCGCAGGACTAGTGCCCTGTGTGTACGTCCGACACTGGCCCGACACCACATAGATACTGGACAGGGTTCAACCAACCGAGGCTTTAATCTAAGCGTTCCTCTCATTGGCCATTGGTGTTTGTCAGACGGTGAACTACTCAAGACGCTGATTGGTCCGTGGGCTGACTGGGTAGCCCATTAATCTCTCGAGGGCTCTATGGGAAAATTGTAGACTATCCGGACTGGTTGTCATGATTTATGATAACGCTGCAAATGTGTGTTTTTTTTGTTTGTTTGTGTATGTATATACGTACTCTCTCTCTTTGTCTCTCTCTCTCTCTCTCTCTCTCTCTCTCTCTCTGTATTCGAGTCTGTGTGTGCGTGTGTATGTGTACATGTGTCAGTATGTGTGAGAGAGAGTGCGTGTGTTTGTGAGTGTGTCAGTGTGTGTGTGAGAAAGAGAGAGAGAGAAAGAGAGAAAGACAGTATCAGTTCTGTAATGGTCACCATCTATACTGCAGTATTAAAACCTCTGTCAATGGGCATTACGGTATCAGCGCTCTGTTTGCAAATCGTCTTAGATAATTGGTTACGCCAGTGAAACTGTAAAGTAATTGTTGATGGGCCGTTAACAGCCGGTAACTACAAACCGGTAACATAGGTCCGATACACTTTAACATGGACCGCTCTATTTTCTGTTCCTGGTAGCCAGTTAGGAATGTGTGTCTGCGATGGTAGCCAAAATACCCAGCCGAAGTGCTGTAAGGGTTCTTAAGAGAGACAGGCGATTCAGAACTCTGACATAAGACTGACAGCAAACAAATAATCCTGTCGAGACAAAGTGCGGACCATACGGGTAAGAACACCGGAAAATTGACTGCAAAATTACAACATCCATTTCATTGAGCATGTTTATTGTTAGACTGGAGACATTTGTTTCGCACTATGTTGTACTGCACTGTACCTATTTCTTCGTAAGGCTGTACTATATTGCCATTCCTGGGTAAAATACAGGAGCCAGTGTTCTCAGCCCCTGTTCTTTCGTGTACAGCGAATCAAATGCCTTCTTTTCATTTGTCTGGCTCCCGTGAAATCCCTGCCGCGAGAAACGATTACGTCCAGATAGCATCACTTTCACTGGCCAAATCTCAACTAACGATTCTAACGAGTTGATACTAGCAGACGGTCCTGCCTATTACCGGAAGACAAGTGATCTTGGTACCGAGCTGTGAGGGGCTGGGTAGGGGCTGCCGCACCTTGCTTAGCGTGACAGGAAATTAGTTTTGGGCCTGCGGGTGAGCAAAATTTAATTATCAACAATAACATTCTTCTTGACTGACAAGAGCTTTTCCCAAATCGTTCGCAGAATATCTGTAGACGTCGAGACCGGAGGAGGACAAGAATTCGCGTTCAAAGGAACCGTAAACCGCAGGACATGTTGAATATTTAGGGTCAGCACTTTTGATACAATCTTGGAGGGATTGGCAGCGTGTATTAAAGAAGCATACAGGTACACGCGATGTTTGATTTTCGTGCTAACTAACCAAGAAGTAAAGGGCTTTGTTGCTTTCTAAACATGAACTCCCCAGGGCGGCATTACATCGAGCCGGCAGCGCGATTAGAAGCCGCTTGGCGTCTGTCCTTCAGAAACACTTGCCTTGGGAGGGGGACTCCTACACAAACACGCGCGAGGGGCAGAGTTTGCGCCTTCATTTGAAACATGCGTTTACGTAGGGAAATGGCGAGGATACTGTTGTTTCTCCTGTGCTGACAGAGCCGGAGAACCACAGGAATCACAATAACCTCCAGATTGGAGCCGAGCTGCCCGCGAGCACGGAACACTGAACAAGACACGCAATGTTAAATCACTTAATCAGTCGCCGATCCTGCAATATTCACCTGAAAGACAACGAAGGCGATTGTGTCGATGTTCCAGCCAGCCTCTAAGCTGTGCAGGGCTCACAACATCAGATAAGCATCTTAGATGGAACGTAGATCAGTCTGCGGTGACATTCAGGCAGGCATATAATTATCAGTCCTATTATTCTGTAAACGCGCGCTGAAGTAACAAGTCAACATTCCCCAAATGTGACAAGTTCTAGTTACTCTGGTTAAATTCTATTAAAAAAAACTTGTTGTTTATCAGCAACGCTCCTACAAGTACAACAGTCTCATAATATTGCTGCTACCGGTGGTTTTTAAATGTAAGAAATAGCCAATTACATTAAGTGCAACGCCGACGTTTAGTAGAACGTCATTATTAGAATCAAGTATTGACACTAGGTACATGATAGCGCCTTTGTTAACGCTAAGTCCTACAGTACAGTAACCGGTAATATAGTACATTTACAAGTGGTTAGCAGCATGTAGTAACAGTGATTCCTGCCCGTCTTTAGCGCCTGCATACATGCCTTCCGTTTTCTTTGTTCGCCTGATCCTGGCGGGAAGAACGCCTCGGGCCTCGCTTGACAGGAGCTTTGTTTCCCTGACACAACACAGGGCGTCCGAGCCAACACTTTACGGCACTAGATAAAATGTCAAGTTTCAACTCATTCAGTAGATATTTCAGGTAAGCCTTCAAATCCTGCAGGAATGGGAGAAATCCTGGCTGAGGAGACGGGGGATATCTTCTCAACTGACACTTTCTCATGCTTGTGACCCTGTAACTAGTTACCAAGTTTCATGGTAGTGACTCTGCTCCAGTATTTAAACTCATAATAAGGTAGAAAATGAAGTGAGGATGCTTGGAATTATGTAGAAATTCTGCATATAAAACCTCGAGTCATCTTTTCCATATGTACGTTTACGAAAACCCATAACATCTTATCGTAAGTATTAAGTATATAATGAGAATTAAACAGCTCCCCAACTCTTGTAGCGAACTTTTTTTCGGGTTGGTCTTTTTGCTTATCATGTGCTCTTTTCTGGTAGTATACCAGTCTACACACCTGTCAGAAACCGGGTACATTAGGGCTGACATACAATCAGAAAATAGTACATGATTAGCCAGAAATCAGCCCGAGCCATTAGCCTGACAAGAAGGCTATATCATAGGGCGTTCCCTGCACCATACCGGCACGGACGCCAGGAGGCGTTTTTGTCCTGCACACAATCACCTGTTGAGTAAAATGAGCACTAGCCTGGCCTACCTACATTTAATTGAGCTTCTTTTGGGCCTTCACCCATGTAGTATGTCTTCACAAATTATCTCATCCAATGATCAACATGTATTTCCAACCTTTTGCAACAGAAATGCATAACTAACAACAACAAATTACGAAAATACAGATTACTTAAAACCACCTCCACCGAGGAGAACCATCTAAGAACAAACATACGACAGAGAATAGCTATCACAGAACTCTGGATAGGTTCAAACAAACCTTACCTTGATAGACGCAGCTGCATTTCCTTGCAACAAAGAAGTTGCATTGTCAATACTGTAACCTAAATGAGATAGAAGACGAGAGCTATCTTGTTGCTGACTGTACCTTGTATAACAACAAGAGAAATAACCTCAGCTGTGTACAAGATACTAGTAGTTTTTTTTATAGATATTTACATAGCAAAGAAAACTGAACATTCCTCATGCAACTATATAATCTATTTATTACAAGCTCTTGTATGATTTGTCCTTACACTTCAACAACTGTTTTAAGAAGCGAGAAATTGAACATGTACCTACTAGTGTAGTATACATTAGGCCTACTAAATGTGTAAGATACCAGACCCTTTGTATCGCTACAAGTTACAACTACTTTGTCACTATGACCTGTACTTAGCTTGTAAGAGCTTAAATGTACAATAAAGTACGCTCCAAGCTAGCAGAGGTGTAGGCGTCGGCTTTTCGGCCTGTTTATATGCATTTTTATCGGGCTCTCTCTTTTTTAATGGTATTTTTTTTTACGTCAGCCTCGGTAGGCAAAGGGTAACTGTCCGGCAAATGGATACTGCCTGACCAATTTGATACTGTCTTTGCAGCCACCGAAAGATCTGCTCAGAGAGTAAAGACAATGAAGGTCTTTCATTCCTCCCTTCTTTCCTAGGCCATGATCATCCCAGAACGTGTCAGTTGGCATGATTGGCCCTACACGGTACCGTACCGCAGGTTACGCCCGCTTAGCCCCGGTACGCAAGCCCGTCACGCCCGCATTCGTGCCCCGAAGCCCTCCCACTGCGAGATTACTTGACAGCAACGTCTTAATTAACTGTTTGTTTACCCCTGTGTTGTTCTGGTGGGTTGATACCAGCGGGGCACAATAAGGATAATAATCTGTCCTCTCCGCGACGGTATCAGCCTACGGCGTGTACCATAAACACCACCCTGTGTCCCCTCCATGGGCTTCTGTTTCCATGTAGGACGGAACACAAAAGCCATGCGCTCAAGTGTTGCTCCCAAAACATAAAGCCACTGTCTGCTGGTGTTTTGGCGGCAAATGTGTTTGTGTGTACAAGGCTATGTCCATTTAGAGGGCTCAATCACTGCGACACCCGATGAGCCAAAGGGCGGGTTAGGGGCGGGAAAACAATTACCACTCTTAGATGACAGACAAGGGAAAAAGTTACACCTCCGCTCCAGCATAGAGCCTGGCTGGCACAATGGCACAGAACTTGGAGGTATGTGTGGTGTGAAAGGTGACCCATGGAAGGTCAGCCCGGGCCCTGAGGTAATGTTTACAAAACCTGTATCAAATATATTTCCCAAACAAGCTCGGCGAAACGGGTCACAGCACCGCAGTAGAACACTTCCATTGCTGAAACCCCACCGCGAGTTAGTTTTCCACTAAGCGCCCAGCTGCTGCCGGAATAGTAAGTTAGAGCTTTGACATTCTATCCGGCGCCAAACTTCTAAATAAATGTGCAGGTGGGAAAGCGCTTGCCTCAGCGGTATCTTAATATCTGTAGAGTGTCTCATTTTTTATGCGGCGTCCATTTTCAGAATCTCACACAATGTTGTAACACAAGTTTATATATATATATTACACAGCAGGCTAAACAAACAAAGTTAACAAAGCAACAGTAACGGGTGTTCAATTACCGATAGAACTTGGAAGACCGGC